CCCGAGCTGAGTCAAGCAAGGTTCCCTGACAGGGCTTGACCTGTGCCACCCAGAAGGATGTTAAAGTCCTAACCCTGCCACTTCTGAGTGTGATGATATTTGGAAGTAGATCTTTGCAAATCTCATTAAGTGAAGATGAGGTTGTTAGGATGGAAGCCAGTCCATGAAACTGAAAGCTAAGGAGTGCTGAGGAATGATGGTCATGACCAGAAAGCAAGAGAAGCAAGGAAGTGCTCCACAGCCTCTTGGGGGAAGAGTCCCGCGACACCTGGAATCTAGACTCCTGACCTCCTGGGCAGGTTGTATAACCTCAGCACGTCTCCTTCTCTACCTGTAAGTGGGGGCAATCACAGCACCTCCTCATGGTATTGTCTGGGGGTTACGAGGGCTAAGAGGTGCTCAGAATAGTGCCTGGCACGGGAGAAGCTATCACTCTGCTGTTAGGATGATTCTGTGTTGGAAGCGCCTTCTTTTCCTCCCATAAAGCCTGGGGTTTGGGCCCTGCTTCCTGTTCACCCCAGGGCAGACAGCAGTGTTAGCACGAAGCATACCCTTCGGGTCTCAGAAGGGACCCTCCCTTCTCCCTTCCTCTCAGATAATGACAGAGCATTTGCTGTGTGTCAGATGCTGCTGAAGTGGCCACATGGAAACTGACACATGAATCCGCCCTGGATTCCATCCTAGTACAGAGCAAGGGTCGCAGTGAATCTGCGCTAGACAGTCCTAAGCACCACGGCGGGGGTGGGCTGTGGCCAGAGCAGAGTAAGGGGGCTAGAAGGTGGTGGGGAGGGGAGAGGTGTTGGTCTGCAGGTGGCCAGGTGGGCCTCCTTGGGAAAGCACGTAACCGAGGGTCCTGAGGCCAGCGTGGCTGGAGAAGTGAGCTGGGGTGACATTAGATGTGGCAGAAAAGCTTGGAAGGGGAATGGAGACATAGCATGTAGGGTCTTATGGGCCATTAAAGACAGCTCTTCCTGAGTGCAATCCAAAACTGTCTGGAAGCTGTTTGCCCAGCCAGCTTCATGGTCTGAACCTTACAAGGAGGCCATGTTGAAGGCCAGCTGGGTGGGCTGGGGTGACCAGCCATTCACATTCCCCCCACACTCAGGGTTCACTCAGGTGAGGCTTTTACCACTGAACTCAAGAAACGCCTGAGCAAACTGGGCACCTGTATCGTCCCGAGAACAACTAGGGCCTTCAGCGCCAGGCCCGAGGCACCCTTTGGCATTCGCCCAACACTGGCCAAGTCAGGGGACACTGTGTGCCCAGGCCAGCTGGGACACTAGCGACGGGGGAGGCTAATGCACCTGTGCCGCTGCCCTCCTGCTCACGTGCAAGGGCGCTGTTCTGCAGAGCGCTGTCATACAGCGGACACCGCAAGCTCACAAGTGAATCTGGAGTTGATCCATGACCCCGCTCCCTGCTAGAACTGGGTGGCTGCTGGACTTTTATCCTTTTCTGCAAAAAGTCTCAGTGAACCCTACCCCTTCTTGCGTGTGCCTTAGTAAACCTCTGTCCAATGCCATATCCCGGTATTTTCTTCCATCTCCACAACCTACTCCACTGCCCCAGTCCCGCTGCCTTGTGGACGAGATTATTACTCTAAATTCAGGAGAGCAGTTTGATCTTTTGTCTTCCTTTTCTAAACACTGTGCCCCCAGTAACATCTATTTGAATGTATTTGATACGTCAGAATGCACACGTCCTGAGACATATTGTAAGTGTATGTTTATGTAAATGGCATTACGCTATGAGTCTCATTTCTTGCTGTAAGGATGCAACGCTGTTTTGAAGAGCCATCCATTTTGCTGAAGGAACCTCTGCTTTAGTTCTAACAGCTGCGCAGTACTCCGTAGGGCACAGTGCCGCCTTTTACATATCCAAGGCCTTGCTTGACTCCAGCATGGTGGCTCACGAACATTGCCAGAGCACCCTTCCACCTGTCCACTTGTGGATCCTGGTAGAAATCTGTCTGGGGAACACACCAGTAGCTTTGTGGTTACGGCACACACACACCGCTACCTTGAACGTGCTGCCAGCTTGCTTTCCACGGTTGGAAAAGTAGCAGTTAACACCGCTGCCGTCAATACAGAGGCTACTGTCCCGCATCTACTCCCAAGCCGTTACTCGCAGTTCTGAGGGGCCTAATGTAGCGGATCATTCAGTGCATCCCTGCCGATATCCATAGCCAGTTTTTCTTTTGGATTTCCTTTTTCTGATTTGCAAGAAGCCATGTGTGATACATACGAAGCCCTTTTCAATTTTGGGCACTGCAGACATCTGGTCTGCTCTGAGTGTTGTTATGGTGTGTGCTGAACAGAAACCCTTCGTTTCCATGTGGTCAAATCGCCCCGCCCTTACATCTGGACACACAGGAGAGGAGAGGAGCCAAGCTCATCTTTATAACTCACTCTGGCAGTGAGCAGCCCTGAGCCCTCACAGCCTAACCCTTCTTAAAAGTCCCACTGCTGACCATGGTGGCACTGGAACCAAGTTTCCAACTTGGCGGACACACTGGAACCACAGCAGAACAGCCAGGAACTTCGAGAAAATTCTCTCATGTTGCCATAGCCAGAATAAAAGGCCACGATGAGGCTGAGTGGAGTCCATGAAATGTTCAGTGTCTCTGAAACCTGTGTAATAGTTTGTGTGGGTGGAGAAGATGAAATCGTAAGGGGAGAAAGTGCTGAGTGTGGTCCTGGAGTTTAAGTCCTCAGCAATCGCAGGCAAGAACAGGATACTTAGTTTTTTCAGACTTGCCTACTACAAACTCTGGTTATCAGGAAGGAGAAAAAGGGTGAGAGGTAGATTTCACACCACCTGTGGTAACCCTGACAGAATAGAGAGAATAGCCAGCACAGGTACTTTTTAGGAATAATAGTGACACCTCAGGAGGCTGACGCAGGAGGATCAAGAGGTCAAGCTAAGCCTGAACAACCTGGTAACTTAATAATAAAAAAGTGGCTAGGGATACAGCCCAGTGTAAAGGCTCCGTAATTCATCTCCAGTACTGAAGAGAAAGAAGAAAAGAAAAAGAAAGAAAAGGGAAAAAAAGGGAAGGAATGACAGTGCCACACTGGGAAAAGACAGGTCCTTCCTCCTTTGTCCTGACGATCCTGCATAGACCCCCTTTCCCCTTCCCATCAAACAGGGGCCAGTGGACTCCCAGTCCCCCGCAAAGCAGCTTGATACCTACAGCATTTATTTGAGCATTGGTTGGACAGGAGGAAAAAACCCTCTTTCTCCTTCATTTAGTTCAGTTCCTGTTTAAACGAGAAACCTGTCTTTCATGCCTATCATTGCTAGCCTCCGTAAGGAGCTTTCAGACTTTTCCCGGGGCAGAAATCCTCCTTGAGGCCTTGTTTTCTTGTTTAGTTCTCTTCCATGCGACTGACTCAGGCTGTTGAGAGAAACAGTCAAGTGCCCATGAAGTCTGGAGCCAGATGTAATCCACCTGCCAAACAGGATCTAGGGCAAAGGGCAAAGATCAAAGGCCGAGTGTCCCCAGTGTCCTCTGCAATCTTAATGGATATACTAACACAAAGAGCCACTCAGGGTGTGTGTGGGGGGGCAGACTTGTTACACACAAAAGAAAACAACACATCAATAGATGCGCAGTGCTTTTGTTAAGAGGAGGCAGAGAGAAGGCTGAGACCCGGCTGGCCGACATGGTGGGGGATCATTAAGACCCTTGAAGATATAGTGTTTCCAAACCGGCCTAGTCTTCCAGACTGTACTGTGGGATTAGCAGGGCGGCCCTTTGTCTTCTGGTGACCTCGCTGAAGGAAGACATTCTACCTCTGACATCAAGTCCTCCACTCCCAGACTAGTGAGCGCCACAACCCCTGTGCAAACCATTAGCATTTCATGGTCTAAAAAACCAAAACACAACGAACCCCCCAAAAGTAGCGAAAGATCCACAGGGTGCATTCCACACACAGGGAAAACTGAAGAATAAAAACAGAACCACGCCTTTCCAATCAGTCGGCATCGTTAGCTTCTGGATATACATTTTAAGTTTGATTTCTTTCTAACAAATGGAATAAAAAGCCAGACATCATCAGCCATCTTAAATATTTTAAGGTATTAGCCTTCAGGCACAAAGTTCTATTTATATATTGTTGAAATGCCTCAAAAATTACTGAAGCGTTCTATTTAGGAGAATGACCCTTGAGCATCCATCCTGTGCTGTGCTGTCCTTCCCTCCCTCCTTCCAAACACGCCTTGGGCCTTTATTTTTGTTGGTCTAACAGCTGCTCTGTTCCCTTTCCATCTGTCTCTACCTTCTATTTTCATGTGTGGCTTAGGCCCCTTCCCTCCTTCACAGAAACCTGTTTCTATGTTTTAAAAACAACTGAAAGAAGCATAGCTTCTAAATTTGATCTTTTCGGTTGTTAGGAATGAGAGTAACAGCTCCTTGGAAATAAACCAAGGGCTTTCAGGTTAGGTCTAAGTGCAAGGTGACAGTCAGCACTCGTGGTGACCACATGTAACAGTGTCGACTGGGAAGAAAATCATCCTAGTTGAGAAGGAAAATTAATTCATTTGGGGCTAATGAGGATTACAATCTGGAAAACACAGATTAAAGAAGTCTTGAGTATATGCTTTGAGCTTTTACAAAATGGCATCTGCACTACTGCGTTAAGCTGCCAAGAGGGGTTGGAAATTACATCACTGGTTAGAAATGATGACTGGTCCAGTAAGAAAGAGTGGGTGGGATCTCAGTGTGGCAGTGGAGGAAGGGGTCTGTAATACAGATCATCAACCATTCACAATATTTCAGGAAACTGGTTTGGCCCGGTTTAAAAGTCCAGCTGTGGACATGTCTGAGATCTGACTAGCAATGGCCTCCCAACTCCATTTCAAATGTGCGAAACCAATGCAACACCATTTGATGTTTACCTGACACAAGTAAATGCATGAAAACTGGTTTGTTTTTCTTGTGTGTGAGCCTCTACAACTCTGCTTCACTGTACCCTCATCAGGCACAAAGACACAGATACTTTGTACTCAGACTCAATTTATTTTACTGAATTTAGACTCAAATTCAACTAATCATTCTTACAGGAAGATTCAAAGGACAGAAATCTGTTCAAATCACAAGGAAGCACTGAGTCTAAGGGCCATTGCATGAACCTTAATTTTATTGAGTTTCAACACCCTTGTGCAAGTGTGCAACACGATACTGCCAAATGTGGAAAGTGATCATTATTCTTACTTTGAATAAAAAAATTAGTGAAACAAAAAACATGTACACACCCAGATGTTCCCTTAGTTTTCTTAATTTGTACCTGCAAAATATAATTCAGTAACAGGACAAAGTTCTAGGTCGCTCACATGATTCATTATTGAAAGGAAAACTCAACATCATGAAAAACAAAACAATGAAATAAATAAATAATTTACCAAAGGTAATTTTGCTGCATTGCACATTACCGCACAGAATTCTAAAGCTGATTTTATTTTTAAAGCTTAGAAAACACATTTGCCTTTCTAACTTTCTTGCTAAGTGATACATGCTCCTTACAAAGAAAGTGACCTTATATAGGCCTGAGTGTAAAATGTAAATACCTGCTCCTCAAGACTGCACGGGTGAGGGTGACAGGGGTTGGCAAGCCCAACACTGGCCTCAAGGCCCAAGCAGCATGGTTGGCATCTGGCCCCTGAGCTGTAAAGCACTGGCTACCGTGAGCAGCTTAGGGGAGGTGTGCAAAGGGCGTGGGTGCAAATCCACACTTGTCCTTTACTGTGATGTCCCTAGAGAGAGTGTAAAATATTTTGAGAACATCCCTTTAAAATGGAGAACCACAGGGCACAGCTATGGAACACAAGCATTTCTTGCTACCAAGATTTAAACAGAATGTATTTCTTTGACAAGCCTTTTATCAAGTTCCCAATCCAGTTTCTTCTGTTTTCTGCAATTATACAGGGCTGCCTGCCTTCTTGGCCATCCTTGAAATGACTTGATTCTTCTCCTTTGCCATCTCACCCATCCCCACATCACTAAGAGAAAGCACTTGATGCTCTTCTCTTCCATGGTGTACACAGTGCTACAGGAAACTACTCAAGTCCTTCATGGAATATGACTCACTGTGGCTGCAGACAACTCTGAACAAATGATGAGCTCCCTGGAATAGCATATTCTAAACAAACTGGGACAGGCAGCTTTCATGGTTTGGTAGAAAATTCATCTTTCCTCAAGTGAAATTCTGGTGTGTAAACACTTTGACATTGAAGTGTGGTCACTTCTCTTGCCCATGAGTGGTAACTAAATTCCTGAATTAAGAGGATACTGCTGCCTGATTCCTTCCTTGAGTCAGACTTCAGTTTGGATCTAGGCTGCCCCCTCAAGGGCCCATGTTAGTCCCCAGCTTAGTGCTACTGGGAGGTAGAAGACCCTTTAAGGGGTGGGGTCTAGTGGGAGGTCTGCAAGGTTACTGGCATTTGCCCTATGAACTGATTGTGGGGCCGAGCCCTTCCTGTTTCTGTCTTTTGCACCAGGCATAAAGTGATGGGTTTTGCTCTGCCATGATTGCTGCCATCACAGGCCCAAAACAGTGGGGTCAAATGACCATGGACTCAAACCTCTGAAACTGTGAGCCAAAATGAACCCTTTCTTTATAAGCTGATTATCTCAGGCTCTTGTTATAGTGATGGAAAGCCAACTCACAGAGTGAGCAAACTTTCCACAAACGGCCATTTAGTAAATAGTTTAGGCTTCACAGGCCACATCTAGTCTCTGTTATGCAAATGTTCCACTTTTATTTTTTTAAGCAACCCTTTCAAATGTTATTTCACAGGCCTTTCAGATTTGCGCTAGCTTTCCAAGCCCTGCTTCAGGGAGTTGTCAGAGGAACACAGGTGCTTACCAAGTACAGGGGGCTTGGGCCTTGGAACCCTAGTTTGGGGATTTCTCCTGGTTCTTGCAGCAGGGGTGCTTAAGGCAGAGCTCCTCTGTGATTGCTTCCACTGTCTCCAGAACTGCAGAGCTGGACTAACATTTTTCTAAGTTAAATAGGGCTTCTGAATCTAAAGTCTTTCTTTAATCAATGATATTTAATAAGCAGCTAATGATTCTTAAAACACACTTGCTACCAACTACATAAATTAACCTGTCTTGGAGTTAGGACATGTACGCATGTGTGCACGCACACACACACACACACACACACGCACACACACTCCAAAAAAACCAAAAAACTTCTAAAATGTTTGGAGAATTCTCCAAATTCCCAAACTAAATACATAAAAAAGTCTTACATATGTCAGTTCAATTGTCCTTTTTTAGATTTTTGCTTAAAACGTTAAATTTGTTTTCCCCCAAACGTGAGTTATTTCTTGTATTAAATGCAGGGTCTTTGCTGGCACTGCCACTGACAGCTGTAGGAATGGCAGTGATAATCAGAACTGGCCAAGCAAGGCAGGGGCTCCCAAATGACACCGTGGAGATGACTCCTAACTAAGGGGACTGGGGACACCAACTTGAAGCTGGAGGAAAATGGAGCAGTTAGGCAGCAGAGGCGCCTGGAAGGGACAACGGCCCTATTCTCACACATCGGAAACAGGGAAGCTTCATGAATTTTTCAATTCTTTCAAAAGTGAAGTGTTCTAAGGCTGCTGATAAAAACAGGATAAAGATAACAGCACTGTGTGTGGGGTGGGTGTGCCATGAAGCGTGTGTGTCCAGAGGAACCAGTCCCACAGTCCTGCGTCCTGGGCCTTCGCATCCCTCACACACGCCAAGCTTGTTAGTAGTTCACATCTTTCACGTTCCTTTACTATGAACTCTAAAACCGCCTGGTGCTTATGTTTATCTATTTCAGATACGAGTGATTTGCAATTTTTAAATCTGCAAAGAGCACATTCGGTGTCAGACCTTACAACACATAAAAACTGCACATCACCCTCTGTAGGTGGCGCTTTCAGGACAGATAAGACAGGATCCTAACCAGCTTTCCAGTTCTGCAGGGTTCCGCTCTCCTATCCCATCTCCGCCGACAGAAAGCATCTTCCCATTCTCTCCCATATCAAAGTGCATCTGCTGACAGCCTAACGTACCTTAAGGAAAACCCCAAATCTTACTAATTTTGGTAGATATCCTGTTAATTTGGATATGCAGCAAAACTCAAGTGAGCTTCCCTTTTCTCTACTCCTCAGTTTAAAGCTGTATAAAACATGGCTAAATGCAATACTTCTAGACAGCAGGAGTTACCAACCAACGATTTTGTTTTAAAGAACAAAAAAGGGAAAGGAAAAACAAAACCACCACGGATACAGAGGAGGAACCCTGAGGCAAAAATGGCTTTTCCTGAAGACAGTCTTCCGGGAGCAGTACGCCTCCTCACAAGGTGCCAGCACCCTTCTGTGAGGGCAGGCCTTCCTCCATCCAGAGCGCAGCCGCAGAGCCGGCCCGAAGCGGACGCCGGTGGATGCGCCGCAGCCGCAGCAGGTAGAGGAGGATGGAGAGCAGGACCACCAGGAAGCAGCCGGAGAACAGGCAGTGGTTGTAGACAAAGGAGACGCCCCGCCAGTGTGAGTGACTGGCCCGGAACGCCTCCTGCTGGATATCTCTGCCACAGAGAGACAAAAAACAGGCTGGGTAAGAGGGCGGTGGGGCAAGAAACTACTCAGGATGCGGGGAGCAGGGAGGGCCTGGTGTGGGCCCAGCTCTGCAGAAGGCCTGACAGTGTGTGGTCGCTGAGTCTGTTTGCTACTTCTAAAGTGGAGGAGAATATGGCCCAAGGTGGGGTGGGCTTAGATATTAATGAGCTAACAGGAAAGTTTGTTCATAAGTTCCTGGCAGTTATTGGCATTACAACTGCATCATGAAAATCTGAGAAGGGAAGAATCAACACAATGTGGAACCATGTTTGTGATATCCACTGCACACAATTTTTACAGTTGGCCCAACTAAAAGTATTGCTTGAAGATGCTCAGTTAAATAGGGAGAAAAGCTAGTATCTCATTTATCAGTTAACCAGAGTTCTTAACATGGGGTCGACTTAGCTGTGTCTATGAACTTGAATGGGGTAAAATGTACATCTTTATTTTACCACTCCCAGACCAAAATCTAGTGTTTCCTTCGATCAAGAGTATAGACAACCAACCACTATAGTATTAGTAGGGCTGTGACTTTCTTACTAATGAAAACATAGACTTGTTTATATCCCATCATGGTAGCTAATGCTTCAAAATATCATGGACACTCACTCATCACTACACTGACATGGCAGAAACTACTAGTTCTGTTGCCAGATCTTATTATTCAATAAAAATATGTATCATTATATCACAATTTTGTTTTCTGTAATAGTTTGATCAATGTATTTCAATATGTTTCCTCTGTAATTTTAGGTATTTATACTACACACTGCAAAACATCATTTGAGGAGGAGTCCAAGGCCATAAATGTCAAGAACCCTGGATCAACTCTCTTGCAAGGGTCAGGGTATAGGCAGCAGACAATAACCAAAGGGGCAGCAGCCCAGAAGCACTGCATGTGGCGGGATGGACAGGAAGGGGCAGGAGGAAGCGCTTGTGGGGTGAGGAGACTTCATACTCCACCCATGGGCAGCCGGAAAGCAGCACCCCATACATTCACATAGCAGCTTCCATGGGGCACTGAATTGCAGCAAAGCCCCTTCTGTGATTCTCCCTACCGAATCAGTAGCTCACCTCAAGGGCAAAAAGCGAGTCCTGTAGAGGATGGCCCCCAGGGTCCACTGCACTTCCTTGTCATACACCTGCAAGGCGGTCTTGAGGTTTCTGTAGTTGTTGGGAAACGAAAAGCCCCTATGGAACACCTCAAACATCCAGGCCGATTTGAAGCACTGATACCTGCAAATACCAAGCGAGAACAGGAGTCAGAGCCACGCCTGTCAGAGCGGCACCAGCACAGGTCACACAGGCTTCAGCAGGCTGGCTCTGGGCAGCCAAGCCACCTGCACATTTTCCAAGCTGATTCACCCGGCCCGTGCCCTGGGTCCCACAACACCCAACAGCTCACCCATCAAAAGCACACAGCCTGTGATACTTGGTCTCGGTATAATTTAATCCATTACCATGACTGATTTCCTTTCTGCCTCTAGAGATTCCAGCATTTACTGAACATTGCGCAAGCTCCAACCTCTTTGGACCTTAGTTTATTATAAAATGAGAAGGCAGGAAGGTCCTTTTCAGCTGTGGCATTCTATGGTCCTACATGTTTATTAGTGGTTTATTTTTTTCAAAGCACTGTGCTGAGCAAATAAGATGCAGTGACACATGAAAGATATGCTCACTACACTCAGGTGACTAACAATAAAAGGAAATTAAAAACAACAACCGCAAATAGCTGTAAGCCAAAGCAGAAGAGGACAAAGTAACTGAGGGGGATGGTGAGTGTTCTGGACTCTCGGACAGGGATGAATCTGGCTGCGTGGACACAGGGCGACCGGAAAGGGCCAGGGTCTGGCCTGACTCCGATGTCTGGGGAGCACCTGAGCAAGCAAGGGTCTGAAAGTAGAAGTTTGGGGGCAAGGAACAGCAAAACTGAGCCCAAAATACAGGCTACACCTGGGAACAAGTATCTGCCCATCCAAAAGCAGCGGAGGGCAGATGAGGAGCAGTCACTGAGGAGGACGAAAAGGCAGACCGAGGGTGAAACAGAGCTGACAGTTTGTTAAAAGCATCCTGAGGTTTGCCTGTCCACTACTCACTTAAGCCGATGGAGATCAGCATGCGACGCATACAGTCCTCGGTCAAAGCGATCCCGCAAGATCGACCACTTTGTTGCACAATAATCCTGAAAGCAAATTCACCCAAAATAAAATATTAGTAAAGGCTTACTAACATTTTCTTAAAATCCTAGGTGTTGGAGGGCTACAAAACTGATGATACCATCAACCAGGATGGCACAACGAGGACAGGGGGAGAAGAAAATGGTGGGTTTGGAGCTGGGAAACCGGGCAGGGATGTGGGCAGCTGAGGGACAGCGGCTCTAAGGGGCAGGACTGAGGCCACACAGGCACTGAGGCTGGCGGGCCACAGGTGGAGATCTGGGGTCACCAAGGTGTAAGGGGTGTGGAACGGGGAAACCTTTGAAAGAACCCAAGGAAACACTGCCAAAAGGCAGGGAGAACAGGGGACAGGGACGGAGAATAGGGGGTACATGCAGACTGGGTGAGAGGATCAGAAAATGACCACCAGGAATGCAGACCAGAGCCCAGGGAGAAGCCGCACAGAACACTGACGGGGCTGCCGGGAGGGTGGCATGTGCAGCTAAGGCTGTGACTTAACCTGCAGCGTGCTGGGTAGATGCTGGCTTATGCTCACGGTGGACTTTTCAGTTCTCCCGTGACTGTTTCCCTCCCAGCAGCCAAAGAAAGGCACAGGACTCCTCCATGATGCACTACAACCTCCCATGCTCCATCTATCTTTCCCTCCGAGAGTAAAGGGAGGCTGTGACCTGCCCCTGTCCACACAGGTCTCTCAAAATCATGTGAGGCTCCAGAGGCTGAGGCAGAAGGATCACTGCAAATTCAAGGCCAGTCTAGGCTACACAATGAATCCAAGGTAAGCCTGAACTGCAGAGTGGGACCCCGTCTCAAAAGAAAAAAAAAGCATGCGAGGGAAGCCGATTTCTCGGAAGGTTACCTTTGCAGCTTTAGTGAATTTAGCAGCATTGTAGTCTCCCCCCATGCGTAACACATCCTCAGTACAATAGTAGAATTCAGAAAAGCCATAGAATTCGCTGTTTCGGAAGTGAATTGGGGGCTGGTAGACCCCATTGAGGGAAGTCTGCGTCTCATTGGTTTTGTTCATGAAAGGCTGGAGGGTCTCCCGGCAGAGGTCGAAGTCTCCTGTCCCCCGAAGGTACATGGTCTGCCCGTTTTGCTGGATCTCATCTTTAATGTCAAGGGGCAGGCAGGGGTCCAGGTATGGAGCCTCACGAGTCAGACCGGGCTGTTTGCCCAGCAGCCTACGGCACAAAGAGCAGACTCATCAGGAGACCTGCATCCCACTGTGTGCTGGGGAAGTGGAACCCGGGTGTCACAGGACTGTGTCTGGGAACACCAAAGGGGGCTGGGATAATCAGGTCAGGAAAACTGGCCTCCTGGCCCCTCTGGAGATGCCTGGAGACCCCAGTACACATTCATGTGCTGCAGGTACGGTAACCAAGGCCACAGAAACAACCCGGGCAGCTACCTGATGCTTCTGATTCCACTTAAAATCACTGACAGCCTTTCCTCTCCACTGGACTAACAAATTGTGTGCTCTTCAAATCAGGCTACTCATAACATGCATGAATATAACCAATAAAGAAAGATCTATGCCATAAAATGTTTAATTTAAAAATCAATCACCACTATTCACGGCAGAGGTACATGTCAATTTAGGACACATGAAACACATGTAATTATTATCAAAGTCCAAGAGTAGTCAACAAACACCTTCTGGTACTGTGTTAGTTGTCCTACCTCTGAGAAGAGCCACTGAACTGTCTGCTGTTCAGATGTTTTAAAACTTGGTAATAAAACCAATTAGTAAAAATAAAGGTTTCAGAAGGTCTTCAGTAAGTCTGCAAATATATGATTCAAATGTGATTTATGAAAAATTTCTATTTTTAAAATAGTATAAAAAATAATTATACACAAACATACTAGACAACTACAAAATGGACCACCAATGTCATAGTTAACAGCATTTAATTAACTTTTGGAGTAGACACAAGACAGTTTTTTTTTTTGCTTTTTGTACTTGTATACATGAATTTCTAGCAAATGTGGTACTGAAAAGCTCCAACTTGGTCTTCACTGAGGTTTGGGCCCTTACAAATTTATTAAGTTGGCCAGGAAGGATGTTATTGCTTAGCTCTAATTAGGATTTTTTTCTCTCTCAAAATTGTTTCATCAAAACAAATAAGAAATAATAATAAGATATCTTACATGATTCCAGATTCAAATTCTTTAATTCATTCAAATAAAGAATTTTTCTGTTCGTATATACAAATTTCAAATAAGTAATTGCTATATATTGAAACAAATTTAAATCGACAGAGTGCTGCTTTAGTTTTATATGTTTTATATACCAGGAATTTACACACACTCATTGCTGAAATTTCACTGCTAAAATGTTTCAAAATCCCTAACTCATTCAAGACCTTTCCTTGCTCCCGACTAACTCCCTTCACTTGGTTCCCATTTACTGAATGGCTGGCACAGGCAGGCTGTGTGTCTCCGGAGCCCCACTGAGTTCTGCCTTCGGAAGCCAGAAGCCCAGAGCTCAGCTCCCTGTGGGCCTCAGACACCAGCAGGGTCCCTGTCCCAGTGGCGCTGAGTTCCCAGGTGTGACGTCACACAGGGCTCACCGCCACCATGTGGCCTGATGGAGAATTTTCTATTCCAGCAGGTGAGGCACAGGTCTGAGTGACAAGAGACCCCACTGGAGCCTGAGGGGACAGAGGACTGACAGCAGGCCGATGGCCTCTCCTTCCTTCCACCAGCTCAGCCTAGGTCTGGGTTTGATGCAGGGAGACACGGTCTGAAGGGACTGCTGTGCAGTGGGAGGTGCCTCACCTGTTCTTCTGAAACACGCTGGCGAACAGTCGGTCTTCGTATCTTTGTCGAGCAGCATTGCCACCAAACCCAAGGAACGTGGCGACGTAGACCCGGTACACATGCTCAGTTTGGTGCACATCACATCCCAAGTTAAATTCAGCTAACAAGTTTTTAGCTACTTCCTCCTGCAGACACAGGATGACAAATTTTAATATTTTAAAGCAACTTTAACTCTTGCTAAATAAGAGCTCAAAAAAAGTCATCTAAGAGTGGCAAAAATTTCTGCTTCTACATTTCCCAAGTATTCTTCTGAGTATCCTTTTTAAAAATTTTGTTTTGTTTTTCGAGACAGGGTCATACTATGCAGTTTAGGCTGGCCTTGAACTCTATGTAGCCCAAGCTGCCTTGAACTTGCTGCAATCCTCCTGCCTCAGCCTCCTGAGTGCTGGGATCATAGAACTTTGCCACCACACCTGGGTTAAGTATTCTTTACAAGTCAATGTGATGATTCCGACTTAGGATAGTTCAGATGGGCTGCGCATTGGTAGTACTGCTATGACTTTCTGAGAAAGAAGTCAGCAAAACAGCTCACACCCTCTGACCCTGTAAATGAATGAAATCCTAAACTGTAGGAATAAACTTCTCTAAACACAGAAATGACCTTTGCAATTCTATGATTAGAAAAAAAAAGGATGTCACGTGAATGTACAACATCAAGGGAAGGTTAATTACAGTAACCAGTGGTTCACAAAAAACACACTTATGCAGTGTTAAAGGACATGAAAAATCATATGAAGAGTAAAACTGTACCTACATTTAAAAAACCATAAATAGGGAAAAATGAAAGAAATTTATTAAAATACTGCTAGTTTTTTTGGGTGATAAGTCTATGAGAAATTTTAAATCTTTGCTTTTCAGTTTTCCCCGAAATTCCTTTACATATACTTTTACTTTATATTAAGAAGGAAAAATATGATTTTTATAGAGTATAATAGTTTGTACAGTCATGTCTGGAATGGAAAGTAGGAAATACATACTCTAATACCTGAATTTACAAAGCACTTTTCCAAGAAGCTTAGTAAAGACATTCATAGCATCTACTAAGCAATACTAGGTGCCTGGTAGTGCATTATATACATTATATCCATTATTTCATAAGCTTATAATGACCTCTGCTGTAGGGGCTTTCATTCATATTTAAGGAAGAAACTAGCTTAAAGAAGTCATGTGACTTGCATAGGGTCACACAACGAGTGAGGAACAGGATGATGATGCCACCTAGGCCTGTCCAGCTCCACAGCCTGTGAGCTACCACACTGCGTTGTCCCTGCCTCCTGAGGGACAATGCAGGAGACCAGGCTTTGGTGGCAACTTACACCTGGACAGAAACAGCATCTTAGAGACACAGAGCACATCTGGACGCCTGGCCTCCTGAGGACCCCAGCCTGTGACTGGTGACTGAGTGCTGAAGCAGTGGGCAGAGAAAAGACAGGGGGAGTCCTGGGATCAGTGGACACCAACCTCGACCCTTTCCAGCAAAGCCCAAGGCTGACTGTGTCATGGAAAAAGAAAAAGGATTTTCCCCAAAGACAACTTAAAGAATCTGATGCTACTGTATTAAATTTTTAAAACCTTGTTGAGAAAAGAAGTGACTGAAAGGACAACACAAAAACTCGAGCATGCAACTGACAATATATACCAAAGAAAAACCAAGCTCTGAAAACAAACCAGCCGGTCTCAAGGCACAAAGGCAGTCTTGAGGCTTGGCAGAGGCCTGCCTCATCCTGCTGCCTCCTTCCTCCTGGGTTGAGAAGGCGGTAGGTACCTCAGCAAGCACAGTAAAGATGTGTCAGACTCAGGAAACAAAACAAAAATGGATGGAGACATGTTAAATGAAAACCAAACCAACAGAAGGCAATTTGTACAGATAGTAACCTGCTGTGAGGAGGCAAAGCTTACAGTTTCGGGGACTTCGTATGCTATCTGAGTGGACACGCCTCCCATGTCGAGGATGCCTGCCGTTCTCTTACGGATGATGGCCTCGCTGTTCTCACTGCCAGGAAGGCTGACCTCCACGATGGCCTCGTCATCTGCAGAGACAGGAAATGCCACGGGAGCGAGACAAACCCAGGACCTGGGATCTCCCGAGGTATCTTCCGTTGTCCAGGTGTGTTTCAAACATATGAGGTGGACCCCTCCCAGCACGAGTGAAGCGGAACAGCAGCTGCTCCCACACACTCAGCCACGTCACAAGGCCTGGCTCCCTTTTCAGCTCTGACCACAATTTCCAGTCAGACACATTAGCTGGAAGCAAGACACTTACCCTCTTCAATATGCTCAAATCGTCCAAGGACAAAATTAATGCCAATCCAAGCATACACACCTAGGGACAATGCACAGGGCAAAAACAGGAAAAACTAAGTTTAGGGACATTTTGTTTACTGTTCAATGCAGTCTGTGCCCACACCTCATGTATTTTAATCTCTGTCCTTCAAAATATCGCCAAATAACACATTTCTATTGTTTTTATTTTTTCCTAGTGCAGTAGATTCCAAGAACTCTCAAATGTTTTATATTTTAGCTTTTGGTTTTTGACAGGGTCTCACTTTGTAGTTTAGGGTGACTATGTAGCCCAGGTTGATCCCAAACTCATGGCAACGCACCTGCTTCAGCTTCCCAAATGCTGGGATTTCAGGCCTGTGCCACCATGTCTGGCTCTTCATTTTGATATTTATAGTTTTATATCATTTGTAGAGGTTGAAAATATAATCCTTAGAGGTATTTGTTTTCCTTTGAAACTTACGGGTTGTTTCAAAATACCAGATTTTTCAAGTTACATTCTACTTTGGTCTTTATTTTATTCCTCACATTCACTCACTTGCCAAGTCTGATCCATTTTTGCATCACTTCCTGCACCCAATTTTTACCCATTTTTCACTGCCACACTGATTCGTGTCATTATAGAGGGAGGTGATGGGCTGTCTAATCCACCCTTCTGTCCTACCCTTTCCTGGCAACTCTCTCTGTCCTACAGAACAAAGTTTAAACTCTTGGGCTGACAATTCAGGACTGATGCGATTTGTAACCTTACCACACCTTTCCAATGGGCCATCTTTCAGTCCAACTCTCAGTGGTGTCCCATGTGCTCTTTACCAACCTGAACTAAGTCATTTCTTCTATTTGGAATGCGCTCCCTCTTCCTCCCTAGCCCAGTCCTCCTCTGGGTGGTCAATTCACAACTACCCCTGGGGCAGGCACAGTCCAAACGCAGATTTCTCCTCTCCACCGGGGCCCCAGCTGGGAAAAAAATGCCTCTTTCCAACCCCCACAAAATGTTTCCCTTATCTTTCTTTGGCTCCTGAAATAACCTTTGACAGTTCTGTATTCTTCACTGGTCTGTGAGCAGCTGAAGGGCAGCTCACCCGGTTCTGTGTATTCTACAGTGCCTTTCACAGAGGAAGCACTCGGCGAAATGATACATGGCCTTGAAATGGATACTTTACTTTTAGGTCTCCATTCCTACCAAGCTATGCCCCAACTTCATGGACTGGTCATTTAATTCTCAAGTAGAATTCCTTCTCTGAAGACCACTGATTGGAGAATTTCCCCTCCCTAATAAGTCAAGAGATTCTAACACCTCAACAATGGTCCTAAGCCAGCAAGCCAGGTAGTTAGACAAGGAGCACAAACCGTTTCCATCACAATGAGTTCAAAGTATGCTCCCTGAATGTGGGAGTCCTGTCCCCCCACCCCCCAACCATCCTTCCCCTCCCTCCCGGGGATTGAACTCAGGACCTTGTGCTCACGAGGCAGGAGCGGTGCCATTGAGCTACATCCCTAGCCCTAAGGGAGTTATTTTTTAATGACTTAAATATTTGGGTAATAAAGACCAGGCATGTAAGAAACTCATTTAATCACTGAAAAATAGCATTTCAAGTATATGATTTCCCAAATCTCACATTAAGAATAAATCGATACAGTGTAGACTGGGGAGGATTTAAAGGAATAGCTCCCCAGATTTGAAGTTGAAGGCCAATACACCAACCTTCTTGCTTCCCTGAAATGACTTCGGCATGTGAGTCAGAAAACAGAAAGTCAAAGTGCACAGGGATGTCAGTCAGGAGGTCTTCTAGAATGGCTTTCTGCTGGCTGTAAGGCAACCCGAAATTCACATATCAAAACAGTTCTACATTGAAAAGAAAAAACAAAATTTTCATGGCTCTGATATAGCCTATATGAAATAGCTTTTTATTTTGTTTTTACAGTTCTGGGGATGGAATCCAGGGCCTTGCATGTGCTAAGCAAGTGCTTTACCACTGAGCTACAACCCTAACGCCTTTTTTTTTTTTTTTTCATTTTATTTTGAGATAAGATCTTGCTAAGTTGTCCAGGCTGGCCTTGAACTTGTGATTCTCCTGCCTTAGCCTCCCGAGTGGCTGGGCTTACAAGTATGTGCAACCACATCAGGCTAAAATATCTAATTTTAAAACTAGAGCAATTCATTGAAAATATTATTTTAGGAATGATTTTTCAAAACAACAAGTTGTGTGAATGACATGACTCCTAGATGTAAAACTACAACTACATATGTTCCTTAAATAATAAAATAATTATTTAAAAAATGATAAGTTTGTGATCTGCAGTTACAAACAAGTAAATTCAACGCCGCTTGGTGGGGGGTGTCTAAGGGAATAGCTCTGGGCCTAGTCCAGATGTGCAGACAGGACTCTTTCTCTGGTGATGGTGACAATGACAAAGGCGGGGAGGGTGGCAGACAGGTGCACAGTGGCCCTGGCCCGGGGCAGAGGATCACCTTTCGGGAAGAACTCTCATGCCAGCTGTGCAGAGAATGTAGAGCGGTGTCTCTTTGTGTTTTGCCCGTGGCACGTGCTCTGCAGCGAAGTTCAAAAGAGGAGAAATGTAATCGCTGACTTTCTCCGGAGAGGTAGCAAATTCTGAGATGCCTGGAGAAACAGGACATGCCGGTCAGCAGGCTGTGCTCTCCGCGAATGCAGCAGGCTTCCTCAGCGGACAAGGCTGGCGCAGAGTCAAGCTGCACTCTCTTCCCCTAGGGCTCTCGGCCCTCGTCCTCTTGGCTCGGCCCTGAGGGTTCACTCGCATGCCCTCTCCTCTGCCATCAACCACTTCCTGCCTCGTGAGAGTCCACCCCTCCTCAGGAAGCTGGTGGACTCACAGGGCTGCCAGCAGCATCTTCACACAGGCGTCCTCACATCTTACCTCCAGTCCCCAGGTAAGCATGTGCTGACTCCCCACTGCACATGTCCACCCAAACGCAAGGTCCCCAAGCCCCAACTCCACGCCTGCCCCTCCTGGGCCAGCCTCCTGGGTAACACCCCTCTTACCGGCCCCAACTCGCCTTCAGGTTTTCACGTCCCCTCTCCTTGGCCCCTCTCACTTTACTTCACCTCTCATCTCTGGACATCACCACCCTCTGCTGGCCTTGTGCCAACACACCGCACCCGCCAGCCTCAACCAGTCCCTACTCATAACACTTCCTTCTAGTGTCCAACCCAGACTTCTGTGCTTCCTCCATTCCCTGCAGACAAGGCTCAACTCTGGAGGACCACAGCCCAGCCCCGCATACTCATTCACTTCACGGCTCGCCAAGTGCCTCCCCTTCACCGGCAGCTACACTGAACTATCGTTTCCATAACACAGCCTAATCTGCCCTTGACATCTGTGCACCCCACCAGAAAGAGCCTCCCCCTCCTTCACCAGGCTGACTTCCGCACGTCAACTCAGCTCCTTCCTCCATGGCATTGTCCCAAGAGAACCCTGGCAGAGACAGCTCTCGCTGCTTCCCGAGCCCCCCAGCCCTGCTAGTTAAACTCACTACACCCCATCGAGGTCACTCACTTGACTGCCTGTCTCCCTACCTCTGAAGCTGCTCAAGGGCACACACTGTCTTGTTCAAATTTATATTCCCTGCACTCAACACAGTGCCTGGCAAGTAGAGGGGCTGAGCAAGTGTGTGTTGGATGAGCAGATAATCACTGGTGGTAAACTATGGCACATGTGCCGCCGTGGGTGGTAAAGCTCTCAAAGGTTCATCATCACTGACGTGAGTGAAGAACCTGTCATTGGGCCTCCAAGACTAAAAATGGAGAGGACTTTGGAAGTCCAAAAATTCCTTATTTCACTGATTAAGAGACTGTGGACTCAGAAAGATGAAGTGGTTTGTCAATGGGATCCATAGAAAATGGACTGAAAGACAAGTCGTTTGCACCACATGCAATGCTGTTTCAATGAAGACCAAGCCCCAAACCAGCTAGAAACTATCAAGCAAATTTCTAGAGCCTTGCTACAAACAAAGGTGTCTAGACTTCAAGACAGGGAAGTGTTATAAAAAGTATTTTGATTTCCATCTTGAGCACTCTGCATACAGTGAGAGAGAAGCATGTGAAAGTTGATTTTAGCTGATTTTATTGAGATCCTGGTGTGCACCCTGGGATGATACAGCTGGCCCATTGTTTCAAAAGGACAATTCCAAGGTGTGAACATTTTCATCTTGTTCCATGAGAAGTGTTTCATTCCCAATTGAACTAGTATGAGAGGCTCAATGAAACACAAGGTGCTTTTTTATTAGTACTGTGGTTTTTTATTTGATCAACATTAACCCTGAAAATGTTTCTAGACTGGGGATAGATACAAATTTAAGGAGCAGGAAGATAGAAAATTACAAATTAAAAGTCATTCAATAAGTCTTAAAGAAAAATGAATCTTTGTTCATGGAAATATACTTTGATATTACTTACATTTTTGAAATGGGGGATAAAAATCTATGATAATTATGATTTATCAATATTGTTTTAAAAATTTTTACTTGACATGTAATAACTGGCATATTTGTAATATTACAAATATTACTCGACATGTAATAACTGTCCATATTTGGTAGTGTGATAACTTGATACATGTACTCAATGTGTGAGGATCAAACTAGAGTAATTAACATTTCCAACTCCTCAAATATTTATCATTTCTTTGTGTTTCTCTAACATTTTAAAAGATAATTTCCTCAGATAGTTTGGATTTAATATTTTACCAGCTCATGTATCAGCAAGGTAAAGTAAAAGCTCTGCATCTCTATTAAGATCTGTAGCTCACTGTTTAAGGTCAGTGGTCATCAATTATCAAGACATAAAGTTGTTTCCAGGTATTCCTGATGTCCCTATTCCTAATCCTCTGGATGGAAAGGCGCCACCCCCGGAAATGGGAATGATACACAGGTGAGAACCACTGATTTGTATTATCCAAAGGAAAGCGAAGCCTCAATTTTGTATGTCACACTGGCTTAGAAATGATATTGTCTTTAAAAACTAGACAATTATATTACCTCTTTTAAGTTCTATGGTCATCCTTAATAAATAATCTAGAGGATCAGAAATATTTTTGGGCAATTTTTAAAAACCACACATATATTTCAATGTATTATAGTACAGATTTTCATGAGTTACCTGAAATTGCCTTGTCATTAAGGACAGGGACCAATGGCTACCAAATAGGAAAAACCTATCCACACTTAATGCCAACTAGCAAACTTGGGGTAGGCGGCAAGAGTGAAGCACTATGATCAGTTCTACAGAGGACAAGAAGCCGTGGCTTTTGGATGCTTTACCAAGGTGTTGGTCACCCTACAAAAAGTGTACAGAAAAGGAAAAACAAAGCGAAACCTCGAGACCTGCTAGGTCTTGCTGTGAGCTTTGAAGCGGAGTTAAGACAGTGCTGAGAGATAGGGAAGGACTGAAAGATGCCACAGAATGTAGGCCCAGAAGCCGGTTACAGGTCAGACAGTTCTTTACATACCCGGTTTTATTTTCATCACCACTGGCTTTCGGTTTTTATCCCTCATTTGTCTGATATCCAGCAGATCCCGAGGATTGCCATTGTGCCTTGGCCAACAATAGACGAATATCCGAGACCCACTGCTCCCGCAGTCTACCACAATACCGTAGTTCACACTGGGGTTGTTGGTGTCTGTAGCCTCAACGTCCGTGACTCGGGCCAAGTACCTGGTTTAGAAAAACATATGTGCTTTTGCTCAGGTGCAGTATCATCCCTCGCCTGAAACTACAATATATAAAAGCCAACAGGGACTCCCAAGCTGTGTCGGAACGTTACCTCAGCATTCCCACCACACCCACAGGAGGCGAAAGGAGGCCAAACAGGTGATGCTGACGAAGATCATCAAACTCAAGTACACATTCATTACGCTGGACAGAGGTTCACACAGACTCCTAAAAGCAAATTCTCTCCAAACTGCAAAAGTGTGCTCAAAGACCAGCTTAAAAGACTGTAGAAGAGGCACTTCCATCTAAGTAACTATTCAAGGGCCTCTTTCAGTCTAGCTTTTACGCCTTGTGGTAGTACAGAGTCTGGTTCCCACAGCCATATGCTCCTGATGTTCCAACCTAACTACAAATATCCTGAAGCCACGAAAGGATGGTGCTATGTCCTAACACCTGTACTCCTGCCCTCAAATTCACTTGTTAAGAACTAAACCATCACTGTGATATGATCGTCTGGGAGGTGACTAGATCGTGACAGATAAGAGCCCAGAGAGCTCCCTAACCTGCTTCCAACACACGAGGATAGAGCGAGAAGGTTCCATCTGTGATCCAGGAAACAGACCCTCACCAGACATAAAAGCTGCTGGCACCCTAATCCTGAACAACTGAGACTCCAAATTATGAGAAATAGGATTCTTTTGTTTATAAGCCACTGTCCATAGTATTCTGTTATAGCAGCCAGAACAAACTGAGCCACAAGGCATGGCACCCCTTCTCCAAGCAAATGTTTACCTCTTACCTTTGAAACTTCCTGTCTTTGGATAGTCGCCCATACTTATTTCGGATTATGACAACAGAGAAGTATAAAAGTGAGACAGCAGCAGCCAAGACACTAATGACAACAATTTGGCGTAAATTGGTGCTCAGAATTCGAGGACAGCTCACTGGAGAGATGCTAAAGTGCCAAGAAGCAGGAAAAAGACAGGAGATGCCAATCCTGAAATATCAAAAAACACATTTTAAACAACATACCCTCAAGAGGCTTCCCCTCACCTGAGCTGATCCTATAGGAAGACGTCTGGCCTGAGCTCATCCTACTTCTCTGCCCACTGCTGTGTGGATGCCAGCATGATCCATGTGGCTACTCTGCTTCAGAACACAGTATTATAAAGTGGTAAGAACCAGAAGCAGGCCCTAATGGTTACGACACTTCTGAGTTTCCCCTTTTTCTCCAGAGTATTATGTAGATTGCTATTTTACCCTGCTTAAGCCAGTCACATGAATATATACACCACCAATGAAGTCCAGCGTAGGGATGATGAAGGAAGAAATGGAGGGTGCAGAAGAACACCTTAAAAGCTAGGCCTGCAAATATGACCAACATAGTGGTCGAAACATGGACTCTTAATGTATAAACAGCTCGGGAAAAGCAAGATTTTCTCAACATTTTTAATGAAGGCAAATTTCTCCCAGCTGACTGAGTAATGGGAGAAAATATCTTTAATAACATCCCCATAACAAGCCAACACAGAAGTTTTGTTGTGCTCTGTGTTTTGAGAAAAATTCCTTTGAGGCATATTTTGCAAATATATAGGAAACTTTCCTTCTCAGTTTATATCAGGAATGAGATGCTCATTCTAAAACTATTAGTAGGCTTTAAGAAAACACTGCCTTTAGGATGAATTTTATTATTTTACAGTTAATTCCTACACTCTTCGTGGACTAAAACAGCACACTGAAGGGGGAGTATCCTGCTAACCCAATGAGATTTTCCACTTGGGATTTCTGGTCTCCATGGGGGCTCGGAGCCACTGCATGGCACTCACCCTCCTCCTCTGCACCGCAGAAGCTACAGACAATTCTCCTGTGCTTAATGTAACCCCCTGCAGAACACAGTGTGCAGGCCTTGACTGCAATCTACACTAACTGGGCATGATCATTTTATCTGTGTCAGGTGCCCCACTGGGTCCGAGGAGCCCAAGGTGTTAATCAGAAGTGCAGCACAAGTTTGAACATTTTTCTCCTGGGATTTAGGTTTTTTTCTCCCACAAGAGAGTTGTTTTTTCACACCAAAATCTCTTGCTTTACAGCGCCAGGGATTAGGCCCATCACTCACCTCCCCATGCTGAAAAAGGCCAGAGACCGGGCAATGCTGTGGAGGCCAGTCCTTCTCACACAGAGTTACAGAAAGGTGCCAGGGTCCTTCTTCAGTTACCGTCCTCCTGTTCCAGGAACTGAGAAAAACCAGAGAGCACAGTCAAAAAAAGTCTATGTTTTCTATCAAGTGTGCGCTTAAATCCAACCACTCACAGATAGGTGACCTTTGTGGTGAAATTGTTGGAAGGGTATACTTTGAGAGATATATTTCTAAGTTAACTTTATGCTGCTGTAAATGTAGGCCTAAATCAAGAGTCTGGTACTTAGTCGGTACTCTCTAAGCATCTCAGTGGCCCCAAAATACTGGGACATCAAATAGGCTTTTTTTTGGGGGGGGGGGGATCAAACTCAGATCCTTCCATTTGCGCAGCAGGCAGCAAAACCACTGAGCCAAATCCCCAGCCCTCAAATAGGCTTTTCATACCTCATTACTATATGATGAGGAAGCTGTGGGGAGGAATGAGTTAGGCAGAAGGAGGAAATGAACAGGAATTTGAAGGATCCATTCATTTGAGAGGTATACAGAGCTGTTATGGCTTGTGTTCAGAGGTTTCCCCAAAGCCTCATGCTTTTTCAGAGGTGGCTGAATCTAGTGTGATTGATTCATGGAGGAGCTAGGCCCAAGGTCACTAGGAATAAGGGCATGAGTACTACCCGCCCTAAGTAGTCTGAATAAGATAAAAGGGCAGAAAGATACTGTTAAGGTCTCTTGTTGCTTTTGCTGTCTTCCCGCTGCCCTGCCATGAGCCGTTGCGTTGCCCGTCGCCCCTCGGCCATGTGCTACTCTGCCTTGGCGCCAGCTGATTAGGGATTGAAACCTCTACGAACTGTAAGCTAAATAAACCTTTCTCCTTTTAACTTTGGCTGTCAGATATTTTGTCTCAGAAACAAGAGAAAAGTAACTAAGATAGTAGCTTTTATATCCAAAGCGCTCTGCAGGGTGCTATGTCCCCAGGTCTCTGACACTGTCACCCTTCTTGCTCTTCCTCCTGCCCTAGACCACACATCACAGAAACCAGGGGCCTCCAGTCAGGGCTTTGTTCGGAGTTGCTGGATTCAGTCTGAATCTCTCTTCTTGGTCGGGAGCACTGCTTTACCTCTCCAGTCTTTGATCTCCTGTAGTCTGCTTCTTGGCTCTTGAGTCCTGTTCAGGGTCCTTCCTTCCCAGCCTCCCAGCTGTCTGCTCTTGCACCCTCCAGGGTTCTGTCTAAGCTCCATTCTTCTTTCACTTCATCACTGTTCCTGCTCAGCCTCATTACCGTATTTACCAGGTAATGCAAACAAACATTTCTCCACCCAGTTTCTCCCGAACTGTGCCTTCAAGGCTCTTGAAGACAGCCCCACCCAGCTTGCAGGCTGTAAAACCCGTGTCTAAATTCTCAACCTCCTCCTCCTCAGCACTCCCAAGCTGCTCAGATCAAGAAAGCTGGGCTTGATCTCTCCCTCCACTTCACCTTCCATATCCAATTTCTATTTGACTCTTGCCCTGTCTTTAACTTCAGCTCATCGAATAGAATACCTCTCCCAGGGTTCTCAAATGCTGCCCCAGTGCCCTCAGGCACAGATTCTGCCTCTGAGGTGGGAACCCTCTCCCTCCCCACTCAGGACTCTGATCACTTTACTCTCACAGCAAATTCCCCCAGTGGCTCTCATCCACTTACTCCTGCCTCCCAAGTCCTGCAGGCTCTGGCCACCTGTTCTGCTGACCTCGTCCTCCACTCTCCGCTGTTCACTGCATTCCAGCCACACCGGCATCCCCTGATTCGAGTGTGTCAGGCATGCTGGTCTCTGACCTTCTCCCTCTGCTTAAAAGCCATCTGCAGGGCTCATCTTTTCACCCCCCTCGGTCTTTATTCACATGTCACTTTTTCAGGAACCAATAAATGTAAATGTTTCCTTCTACCATTTACCTTTTCTCCTTAGCAGTTACTTCTTTACTAAATACCTACACAAGAGCTTACGATGAGCCAGGGCCTGTTCCAAATGTTTTACAAATGTGAATTTAGTCCTCCTATCAACCTAGTATGTAGGTAGTATTATCAGGCCACTTTACAGATGAGGCAGAGGGGCTAAGTCGCTTGACTAAGGCCACACAGCTAATAAAAGGCAGAGCTGGGATCTAAGTGTGAGTCCGTGCACTCATCCCTGTCCTCTGACACCCCGTGTGTCTGCATTTCTGTTCACGTGTCTCCCCCTGCAGAACGAGCTCTGCGGGGGCCAGAGTCCAGTCTGCCTGGTTGACTGCCACTTTCCCACCCTCGAGGACCCTAGGAAAGAGCCTGGCAAGACGGCAAGGTTCAGAGTTTGGGCCCTACAAGGTTAAGTGTCTACAGCGATCTTTCCACAACACCAAGGGACTCCCTGCCTCCATCCCTCTCTCACTGGGGTAAGAAGTCCTAACTCCTTAGGAGGTAACAGAGGCCCCTCGTGACCTGGCCCCGCAGGGCTCTGTGTGGCAGCCACGTGTCATGCATGCCTATTTCAAGTAACTGAAAATGAAGTTAACACTTGAGTTCCTCAAGTGCACTAGGCTCCCTTCAAGTCTCAACAGTCACATGTGGTCTCTCCATGAGCCGGCGCAGATGAGAACATGGACATCAACACGGCGAGTGCTGGGCAGCACCAAGCAAGTCCCTGTCCCCCGTGCATCTCCCAAAGGAGCTCTGTATGTATCCTAGGCTCCAGCCAAACTAAATGAGATGCCCGAAAAGCCTTGCACTCCTCAGCATTCACAGAATGCCCCTCTCCAGGCTGTGTCAGCTGTCCTTCCTAAGTCCCCTGACATGCCTAGCACACTGCTCTGTGAGCACCTCCCCAGCCCTCAAATCCCTGGGCTTGGTTATCACAGCAGCGGGTGGGCGCTGTATTTGGGGCTGACTCATCACATGGCAACCTCACCACCTGCAAGCCCCACGGGGTGGGACCCGCCTGTTTCCCTCCTGTTTCCCCAGTGACCAGTGGCTGCCACACGCATGTTGAGCAGTTTCATGCATGGCTGGAAATGGGATATACAAGGACAAATCTGAGCCGGGCATGGTGGCACAGTTCTGTAATCCTAGCATTCTGGGAGGCTGAGGCAGGAGGGCTGAATGAATTTCAAGGCTTGCCCCAAGTTAGACTCTCCCTCATAGAAACCAGAAAGGGCTAGGGCTGTAGCTCCGTGCCTAGGCCCTGGGGCTCGATCCCCACCACACACACACACACACACACACACACACACACACACAGTATATATGTATATGAACGCAGCCCTTAAGAATTTCTAAATCAGTAGAGGGGATAAAACACATACCCCCAGAGATATACACAGTAGAAAGTATTAATGATGCCCTCTAAGGGAGAAATCGCTTGAGTTAGAATTTTAATATAGTACCCATACTGCATCATGTGCCCCACATTCAAGACACAATATTTGTGATTGAAGTTTAAACAAAAAGTAAAAAAAGTACCAACTACCTAATGTTTAAATGAATTTATTGTTTTTATAAAATGGCTATCTTTTAGCTTTTCAATATGGTGAGATTATTAAATCATATCTTTCATTAGAATTTCAACGTCTTAAAAGATTTAAATAGTAAATATCCATAGAAAGGAAAGATGAAAATATATAATCTTAAAATGTATAAGGTCTTCCTATAAATTATATCAATGTCTCAAACCATCAATGAAAGAAAATATGATTTTGCAGCAAATCCTTTCCCAAAAATACACGACTTGAGAAAAGTGTTTTTAACACTCATGACAAAAGGTAAATGGCCTTTACACATAAAACATTCTTGTTAGAGAAACAGTGGAACAGAAAAACAGGCAAGGGTAATTGGAAATTAACAAGAAATACAAATAGCTGATAAAATAAAACTTCACTGGTATTCAGAAAAACAGAATAAAAACAAGATATCGATCAGATTGGCTGAGGTTCAAGTCTAATGATATTTGAGTAAGGAGGGGTCATCAAGTATTGTTGGTGAGAATCTAAATTTCTGGAGGCATTTGTGTAACATAAATGGCCATTTTAAATGTGCTACCTTCTGCTGTCCCTACCACAATTCCAGAAATTCACTCTTAGGAAATAATAAGGTAAATTCACTAAAAATATGTACAGGATGTACATCAAAGCACTGTGTATAAAAACAAAATACTCTTACTAATGTCCTTTATGGAGGGTGGGTAAAATTAGACAATGTGATTTATGCAATGGGACACAATGTGACTATTAAAAGTGATGACGCAGATTTGTATTTATTTATTTATTGATGTGGAAAGAAGTTTACCATGTATTAAGTGAAAACATGTTATTATGCATGGAGGGAAAAATGAGAGGAAAGAAAACAAAAATGTTACCAGTGTTTATCAAGTAGGGAGATCATGTATTGTCTTTATCTTCTCACCTAGATTTGCCTATATTTTTCAAAGGGCATGTACTAATTTCATCCTCAGAACAACAGAACTACTTCTCAAAAGCCACCTTTGACGATGGTATCACCAGTTTCCAGCACCAAATCCTCTTCTGGATATATTAAGAATGCCTAGGCTTAAAAACTGCCAGGAATTCCAATCTGAACATTTGAAAGAACTAATGATAACTAGGTGATAACTTATCAAAGAAGCAAGGAGAAGAAAGTATTAGTAACAGCTTAAGGCCCCTGTTAAAGGCAAACTGGTCCTTTAATGATTTGAGGATCAATACTAGGAAGCTGACATGAGGAGTGACAAACCCAACTCCAAGTTTCAAGACGCTCACAGATTGGTACATAGAGAACACTACCACCAGGAAAATAGCAAGCGAGAACTAAAGGCAAAGTTAAATCAAATAAATTCTTGCTCTAAGAGCTCAGAGAACCAAAAAAGGTTAGAGTCAACAGGAAAGACGTCCTGGAGGTGAGAGGTTGTTATTTTTTTTGCCAGTGTGATAAAATATCTGAGAATAACAACTTAAAGGAGGAAAGGCTGATTGGGCCTCACAGTTTCAGAGGTTCAGTCCATGGCTAGCTGGCTCTACTGTTTCTGACCAGTCTTCAAAGCTACACTTCCTCATGACCAGCTTCATCTGATTATGCCCCATCTCCCAAGTTTCCATCACTTCCCAATAATGCTACCAAATTACGAATCTATGAAGACTCAAGCTTCATGAGCCAATCACTTTCCCAAAGCCCACTGACCAGCAGCCAAGCCTTCAACACACTGATCCTTTTGGGGGACATCCTAGATCTCAACCATAACAGAGGCAGACCAGACGGGTGAGGAAGGAGAACACACTTCAGAGATGCACTGTAAGAATGATCACAGCATATTTAGTAAACTTTATTTCATCTGGTGTTTGTTGTAGGGCTTTTTTTTTTGAGTTATGTGAAGATTTTGACAAAAATAATAAATACTGTGAGTTAAAAATTCTGTGTTTAAAGGCACAGAGGAGAAAGGACAATTTATAAACGGCTGAAGTAGTTACTTTTATTCAGGTCAAAAGCATGGCCAATTATTGCCCAGCAGCCAACCATATGGAAGCCTGACCTTAAAATGTAAGCTCCAATTGTTCTTGCAGCTGAGAATCTTGACACCAGAGCTTAAGGAGGGAAACTCTACGTAATACAGTACTACCCAAAGCTGCCATGTTTTAAAAATACCTAAACTGCATCCAACCTATGACCAGGGAGACACAGGAACCCTCACGGTTTCAGCTGTTGGGTCCTCCTTTGCTGGACAGTCTCTAGTGTCATAAAGCCCATGGGTTATGGGTCAACATCTGTGAGTCTCTCAGCAACAGTCCGAAGGACAACAGTGAAAACAGTACAAATCAGCAGCAAAGGTAAATGGCTCCTCTGGCCACAAAGGCAGGATTCAGTGAAACAGGCACTGTAAAACCCTTGAACCACGAGCAAACAAAATGATAAACAGACAAAATCATGAGCAGTAAGACTGGGAGAGCTGGACCTCTAAAGCAGAAAAAGTACCATGACCTGAGAGGTGCCTCAACAAAGAATCATTTGAATGTCAAAGGATTTCAGGAGTGGGAGGACCCTGAACAACTGTAAGTATTAGGCAGCTCTGCGAGAAACAACTCTAAGTGTGAACTGGGAAGTGAGAGCTGCTGTGAGGCACTGTGACTCAGCGAGGGTAAAAGATCCATCAAACAACTTGCATCACTGTTTCAAGAAGAATGCATGTAGTTGCACTGATGATCTGTACTTTTTAATACACATTAAAAATTTTCAGCCTCAAATCCTAATCAACCTATCTCTCTCACTATTCATTCGTAAAAATTCTGGTCCCCATTTTAAATGGGCTTTTTCTGGCCACACATTTCCTCCATCAGCTCTGTAGTCTCCCAAGAGTGACTTTCCTCAAGTTCAACATCCTGTTGACTGAAGGTCTGTCACTGTAAACTCGATTACTCCAAGTCTGGGGTCACGATCTTTTGACACAAACAATAGCCACTTTCCAAACCCTTTGTGGAACAGTAGTATCACCACTGACAGGGTTACCTGGTTTTCAGCTTTGATTCACATTTCTCTTTATTCCACCATGCTATCGTTTATCAAGTCCTACGGATTGCTCCTCAAACATTCCATCACTACCTCAGGTCAGATCTCGGGTCACTTCTGCCTTCCCTATGAACACTACCTCTTTGTGAAACATTGCCTTCAAAATAGGAGCAGCCTAAGAACAGTCTGGAAGCCTGTGGATCAACACTAACTGCTGTGTGGCACCTGAAACCTCCATCCAACAACTGTGTCCACTTTATCTTACCAGCCCTCTGCCCCTGATAACATCTCTGCTCTGGGGAGGTGGATCTCTTCCCTCCCACAGGAGGGATTCTCCTGCTTGCCTTCAGCACTCCCTCCTAATATCCTGCTCTCAATATTATACTTCTTTCAAGGCCTCAGGGCAATGTTTTTCTTTGTCAAGATTTAACTGTTATAATTCTTAATTTTCCCCCCTCTCTAAATTCTCCTTATTCATGCAGAGCCTATGTTAAACATGCAGAATAAATATGCAGAGAATATAAATCATCCTTAGATCAACTTTACTTTTCGCCTCTTCTATAGAGGACTTATGCTCTTGGGGCCAAAATCGTGTGTTTCCTGTTAAAGCTAGAAGAATGGAAGCACTAGCTTGAACATGCAACAAACACAGGTGATAAATCAACGTTAAGGTAAATGAAGAAATAAGTTAAACTGCATGTACAAATGAGAGTTCCCTTTAAAACTCTGAATGTGTCCGAGAGAATTAACAAGCCAGATACAAAGACAAGAAAACATCAAATACAAGATAACAGAAAGAAGGTGAATCTTTTAGGCCTCGCCAAGGCAACTAGGTATTTTCATTACACAGAACATAATGAGAACTGCACCGTGAAATTAAGGTGAGATCTGAATCCTATACTTTCGGATTCTTTAGGAACCTTCAGTTTACCTTCTAGCGTGCAAAGTCCCTGAAATATAAAGCATCTCTTTTATTTCCTAGTGAAAAGAGTTCTCTGAAAATGCTCTGCACCTATGTTCATCTAACAGGGGCCTGGGGACCTCTGCAGGTTCTGGGACATATTCTACAGAATGCAAGGATCGTCCCTGTAAAAGGATCCATGCATCACTCCAGCTGAGGAACCCTGTCGTGCAAAATTACTTTATCACCCACTTAGCTCCATTTTCCATGGAGAAAGCTGACATGAAACTTGCCAAAGCAGAGCAAGGCAACAAAGATGCTGCACAACTAAACGTCATTTCAAGGGACAGGCAGGACGCAGAGGAGCTGGGACCAGCATCCTTCTCCTTGACCAGGTTCCGCTCCCGCTACGTGCGAGGCAGGGAAAATCCAGCGTGGTGGCCGAGGGAGGCGCGATGGCACGAGTGCCACGTCGGTCCTGCCGGGGACTGGGAGCGAGCACCTGGCGCCGGGGTCACGGGGCGCCCGGATGTGGGCGCGCGGCTGGGCGGCGGGGTCTGCACACCCGGAGGGCTCGGGCGGGTAGAGGGCGCCCGCGGGCCCGCCCGCCCCGCTGACCCCGGCCGCTCTGGCCGCCCGCCCGCCCTCTGTTCGCCAGCGCGGGAAGGCGGCCTCACCTGATCGGCAGGCCGGGGCTCCCGGGAGCGCAGGGCCGCAAGTGGGCGGCATCACGCCCGCCGCACCGGGGACCGGGAGGGGGCGGAAGCAGCGGCGGCAGCGGCGTAGAGAACTCGGCTTCCTGGAGGCTCCTCTCCTTTCCGGGAGCCTCCGCTCCTCACCGCGCGCGGCCCCGCCGGCGTCCGCGTCACGGCCCGCGTCCGGAGCGCGCGTTGGCGGCGGGAGCGCGCGCGTCGAGGGGGCGGGCCTTTCCCGAGCGCGGGGCGGGGCCGAGCCAGATGATTGACACTGAATGGTGAGCTGTTCGGCGGACCCACGTACGAGGTCTCCGAGCTGAACGGGCAATGTGACCACGGTGTCGCTTAGGTTCGTGGCGTTTCCCGTCCGTCCTTGCCTGACTGGTTGTCAGTGAGCCGCGGTGTGCTGAGACTTCAGTTTATCGTTCCTTTATGCTGCTAAAGACTATGGAAAATGACACTTGTTGCTCAATTCTGAACATTTTTCCAAGTTTGCCTGTTATGATTCCCGTTGCATAGATGGAAAATGGAGACTTGTGGTCTTTCAGTGACTCTGGAGGGCCCCAGGATTGCATATGTTAGAGCCTATTCTCAGGGAGGCTGACTGCCCTTTCCTCCCTCCACATCCCACAGACGAATGGTCACAAGAAGCAATGCTGTGCAGGGCACAGCCCCCGGGCTGCCCCAGCCACCTGCACTCAGCTCAAGGCCCTCCCTACCTCAGCAGTCAACTGCTTTGAAGTCTCGGAGCTTTGCCCTTGACAACTGGAAGAGACCTCTGGAATCCCGATTAGACCGGAGACAGGAAGTGCCAGCCTACACACTTGAAAAGGTTTTTTAAATTTAGAGCCCTTGAAACATCTACTATATTCCATTAGCAAGTAAAACAAGCGTGGGACAGAGCTGGTGGTTTCAAAGTTTAAGGCAGCATCCTTGGCGTAGGACTAACTTGGGTCACATGCTCGCGTGGTAATGTTTACCTCAGGATGCAGCTGCTGTTCACGCAGGAAGGCTAGCAATGACCAGTGTTGTAGAATTAAATAACAGTTGTCCCCCGGGATCGACCAAAGCTACCAATGGCTACCTTCCGGATGTCAAAAGGTACAATATTTGCATATAGCCTACACCATCCTCCCATACCCTAAATCATCTCTAGATTCCTTATAAGACCAAATACAATAAAGTGCTACTTCATTGTTTAGGGAGTAATGGCAAAAAGAAGGTTTGTACATGTTTAGTACAGATGCATTTTTTTGGATTTCTTTTTTTGGAGTTTTTATTTTTAAGTAGTACATGTTTGCAGTATGTAGCAATTGCATTCCTTTTGGGGAGTTGGTACTTGTACATAACACATCTCAGTCCTTTTTTCATCCCCTTTCCTTCTCCTCCCCACCTTCCCCCTCTATCTCTTGATCCCCTTCCAATTTCAGAAAGATCACTCTCTCTCTACTTCCTATTATCTATCGTTTATTTTGCTCTTTATTTATATTTTGGGTTTCTCACATAAGAGTAACCATGTAATATTTAACCTCCTGTTTCTGATTTATCTCACTTAACATTATGGTCTCAAGATGCATCCATTTTCTTACAAATGACCCAAACCTATCTTTCTTTATGGCTGAGTAATATATATATATCATCACATTCTCTTTATCCGTTTATCTGTTGATGGACATATAGTCTGCTTCCAAGCTTTAGCTATTATGAATTGTGCTGCTATAAACATGGGTATGCATATATCACTGTAATATGATGTCTTTAATTCTTTGGGGAAGATACTTAGTAGGGGAATAGCTGGGTCAAATAGAATTCCTAGTGTTAGTTTTTTGAGGAATCTTCATACTGATTTCCATAGTGGCTCTACTATTCCCGTCAACAACATAGAAGGGTTCTGTTTTCCCCGCAGATGCAGTTCTCTGAAAAATATTTTTGTTCCATCCTTGGTTGAATCCACAGATTGGAACCCACAGAGATGGAGGTCCAAAGGTACCGACTTTTTAATATTGCTCCACATCCGCATCATTAAGCCACAGAAGGTTAGAGCCAAGGACTATAGAAACTGTCTAGTCCTGTCACTTCCTTTTACAACTAAGGAATGGAACTTAGATTGGAGTGATATGGGCAAGTTCCCCAGGATATAGGAGGGGACAACAGAATCCATGTTCCTTTTTAAAATTCCCTTCCTCCCTTCCTTCCTTCCTTCCTTCCTTCCTTCTTCCTTCCTTCCTTCTTTTTGCAGTATGAGGGATTGAACCCAGGGCTTTAGCACTCAGGTGCATCTCCAGCTGCTGCCTCAGCCTCACAGAGTGCTGGAATTATAAATGCTGCCACCACATCTTGCCTGGAAATAATGTTTCTGACTTCCACATTGATGTTCTTTTTGGCAATCTGTTGCTGTAAAAAAAATAAAAATAAACAGTTTGAATAACTCTCACAGTAGGAAAACCCTGCAACATATAGTTAAAGTCAGCATTGAGAATCTGGCTGCTGTTGTGCTCTGATTTTTTTTTTTTTTTTTGAGACCAGGTCTCACTATGTAGTTCAGCCTGGGCTTGAACTCACTATGTAGCCCAGGCTGGTCTTGAACTCATGGTGATCCTCCTGCCTCATCCTCCCGAGTGCTGAGATTACAGGCAGGCACCACCATGCCCAGCATGACATGCTCTGATTTTAAGACCAGGCTCTCTTAAAAATTATCTGCCCTTCAAAATCACTCGCATTTGAGATGCTGGTCTGGGATTGTGTCTCTTTTAAGAAGACCTCTATGAAAAAGGCCACACTAGTATCTTAGTGCAGCATGCATTTGCAATAATTACCCAGTAAGATCTAAGAATGAAAACCACAGGAAAGGATGAAAAAAAGTTGCATTAGTTCCCCAGAGCTGTTGTATCAAGTTATCCTAAACTGGCTAGCTTCAAGCAGCAGAAATGTATCAACACTCAGATGTAAAGACTGGCAGTGTGAAATCAGTGTTGGGAAGGCTTTGCTCCCTCTGAGGACTCTTAAGGGGGATGTTTCTGTATGTTTTCTTGGCTTCTGGTAATTGCCAGCGATCCCCAACCTTCCTCAGAGTTGTAGATGCATGACTTCCATCTCTGCCTCTGTGGTCACATGTTACCTCTGTGTGCGAGTTTCCCTCTCCTTACAGACAGGGCTCATACTAGATTTAGATCTCACCTTCATCCAGCGTGATCTCATTTTACCTTGATCACATCTTGCAAGATCTTGTTTCCATGTAGGGTCACATTCACAGGTTTTGGGTGAACAGCAACTTCTGAAGGGTCCCATTCAACCCAGGACATGAGGGGATCATTATGGCCAGGGCTTCCTTGAGGAAGTTAGTTTTGAGGTCACACCTGGAAGGTGGAAGAAGGGTGAATTGTGGGGTACACTGTATGAAGAAGAGGCATTCCAGGCAATGGAAGGAGCAAAGAAGCTGTTGTGGTTTACATACGAAGTGTCTCTCAAAGATCCATGAATCAAAGGCCTGATTCCCAATGAGGCAGTTGAACAGAGGGGCCTAGAGGGTGGTTGGATCACGAGGGTGCTGACTTCTTCACTGGATTAACCCACTAATGAGTTAATAATTGAATGGGCTGCTAGAAGGTAGGGCCTGATGGGAGGAAGTATGGTCTCAGTTTACATAGGAAAAAAATTTGACAAAATTGAACAACCATTCATGATTAAAACAACAACAACAACAACAACAACAACACTTTTTCCTAGGTACAGTGGCACCTGCCTGTCATCATAGGTACTGAGGATGCTGAAGCAGGAGGATTGGCAAGTTTTAGAGCACTTGCCTAACATTCATTAGGACCCTAGGTTCAACCCTCAGTATCACCAAGAAAAATAACACTTTCATCATCTTCTTTAGATTGGTAGGTTATCTATAAAGGAACCACAGCTAACATCTAAGTTCAAGACACCTTGTTACATATTTGGAATTTAAAAGCATTAAGTGAAATTTTGAAAAAGGATGCAACAGCTGGAGCTACAGAAGCCATCTTGAAACCATGAGGCAGTGGCCAGGCAAAGAACCCAACACTAAATATGGAATTGAAAGCTAGCATTGCTTGGGTCCCTCATGATGTCATTAACCCATTGAACTAATATCAGCTCCTGTGTCTACTTCTTGATTTCTTGTAATGAGAGAAAAACAAACCATTTGTTTGAAATAAAAATACTTTTGCCTAGATATGCTATTACTTGTTGTTAAGTCATTTTTTGTCTTGTACTGAGGGTTGAACCCAGGGCTTTTGCTCTGAGCTACATCCCCCCGCCCTCTTTTGAGGCAGCATCTCATCAAGTAGTTCAGTTACCCGGGCTGGCCTTGAACTTTCCTCCGCCGTCCAGAGTGCTGGGACTGCTAAGTCTTTTGTTCATTGGTTGATTTGCTTAGGATCATAAAACTGAATGGGAAGTGGGAAGATTTAAGGTGAAGGGTATCAAACTGGGGGTGGGGGCAGGAAACCTGAATCTAGTCACTGTTATGCCACCAATTGACTGTGTCAACTTAGAAAACTTAATGTCTCTCACCGATCCTCCCCACCCATATATAATTCTAAAAAGGGGACAAGAAGGCAGTGCCTAGAATGACTCTAAGGCGCTCCCCAGGTCTAAAATCTGACTCTAAGAGGCAAGAGCAGACTAGAAATAGGCTTATCTCCTTTTGTTCTCCTCCTTCCCTCCCTGCTTTGGTGTGAATGTGGCGCCCAAGTTCAAGTGCTGAGACCTAAAGGCCAATGTGATAGAATCAAGAGGTGGGATCTTCAGGAGGTGATTAAGACAACCCTCCTTGGGGGTTTAGGGTCCTTGTTAAAGGCATGATGGAGCACCTGGTCTCTTCTGCACTGTAAGGACTGTGTTCATCCTTTTTTGTCCTTCTGCCATGAGAGGACTCCTGAAGGCACCCTCCAGGATGAACAGGCCTTCAGAAGGACCCAGCACTCCATCTTGAGCACTTCAGAAGGACCCTGGCACTCCATCTTGAGCTTTCCAGCTCCTAGATCTGTAAGGGATCAATTCCTGTTCTTTATAAATTGCCTAGTTTGTGGTGTTTTGCTAGAGTACCATATATTAGTCAGTTTTCCTATCTCTGAGACACAATACTTTGCACTCACAGCTTAAAGAAAGATCCATTTAATTTGCCTCATGGTTTCAGGGCATTCAGTCCATGGTTGGCTGGC